TAGGCCAGAAAAAGCTTTGCTCTCAACTGTACTTGGCATACAAAGCTGACAAGAAACAAAAAGCATGATAATAAAAGACATCCAGAAATATGCTTGTGATGTGAAGTTTTAAAAATGAAAAAATAATTATAACATTATTTAACAAATATACCCATTTCTTAAATTTTATAAAATTGATGCATCTATTAATGGGAATTATTTTTACAAGGTAGTGTTTTCTATAATTAACATTCAATTTCATACCCCATGTGTTTTCCTGCTGTTGTGTATGTGCCAAGAAACACTGGCTGTGTTTCTCAAGTGTGCGTTGCTGTGACAGCTACATACAGTTTTGGAATTCTCCGTCATGCTCAGTTCAGAAAAACCATAGCTGTTTATCACTCCTAGGAAGGGCCTTTCAGGAACTGGTACATATGCCAGTCTCTAGCAGGTATTGTCTGACACCTTGTCTGATGATCTAGACAGTGCCATGGCCCTCTCTGGTTTTTCATAGGCCTTTAAAGAAGTTGAGCACGAAATTCTGGAGAGAGGCCAAATGCCAAGTCCGAAATTCAGAAAGATTCCTACCATTCTATTTGTCTGCAAGTTTAGCTTTTAATGATGGGTTGTATGAAACTTACTCTTTTAGCATCAACACTTTGATCAATTATTTTGATGCCTTTTCTGCATTTTGGGACCTGATAACATTATCTAGTGTAGCTGTTGTAATCATAGACATGAATGGTTTGGGTTGGAAGGGACCTGAAAGCTCATCCAGTTCCAACCCCCTGCCACAGGCAGGGGCACCTTCCGCTAGACCAGGTTGCTCCAAGCCCCTTCCAGCCTGGCCTTGAACACTGCCAGGGATGGGACAGCTGCAGTTTCTCTGGGCAGTCTGTGCCAGTGCCTCAACACCTTACCAGTGAAGAATCCTTTCTTAATATGAAAGGAATGCTCAATGACTTCTTCCCTGCTATCCTATCAAGTCCTCTCTGCCCTTTCAGTCCCCCTTCTCCCTGCTCCCCACCATACCCTCCTCCCAAAAAAAAAAAAAGGAAGCTTTGGGAAACTAATTTTTTTTTTTTTTTTTTTTTACAGTATTGGTAGTGTGGAATTTCAAGTCAGCCTTACATAGCTCCTGTTGATATTGTAATATGCCTGTCATGTTGGTGCTAGTTTGCATGAAGAAGGTACTTTACTAAAATTTGTTGTTCTTGTGATGTTTATTTTGAATAACAGTTCAACTGAATGCTGGTGCATAGATCCTGCAGTGGGTTTGCAGCCTGCACATGTTTCGAGAGGTATGACTACTGGCACAAGGGCAACAACTATTTAACCTAGAACCAGTTTTACTTTATGAACTGCAAGTATTCCATACTGCTGGTTGCACTTTAAAATAACTGCATGATGCGTTAAATTTTCACTTTGAGTTGAGAAACAGTTGCTTTACCTGCAGATAACTTGAATCTGCTGTGGCAGGTTGCATTTTGTTTCCATGTTCTTTCACTTGGATCCTGTAGCTGTTGGAGCTGCAGTGTTAGAAATAAAAATAATATTGTTGTTTATATTCCATACTGCTTACCCGTTACATAGATTCAGTATTTACTTATTTTGCTGATGGTATTATGTAGAATTTACAGGTGTTTAAACTTTTCTTTGCTGGCTATTGAGCTTCTGCTTAATGATGCAGACGAACAGGGATCACTACTCTCACTAGCTTTTGAATTGGTGGTCATGAAACCTGCTATAGAGAAAAGGAAGGCAGAAGAAAGCACTATAGGGAGTTTTCCTCCCAACAGTCGGGTCACTGTGAAAATACATTGCAGAGATTCCTTTGTTTGCCCGAAGGAGATGAGAACATCAATTATAGGATTCCTTACTGTCTTCTGTGTGTTCACAAATAGAACTACCAGTGCCTTTCTGGACTTAATCTATAGCTGAAGATCATCAACATACATTGTTCTTGTGTCATCACAGCTGTAATTTCTACTTGCTCCAACTAGAAGAATCTCATCATAGCCTGCACTTGAGGTAAATCGGCAAGCTCTGCAATTCAGTGACTGAGAAGCTGTTGTATATTCAGCTCCTTAAGCTGGCCCAACATGCCATCTCAGTAGAGTGAATCATTTCTGCTGATTGATGTGAGGCACCAAAAAGCGTCTCCTGCAAGAAGGATTTGGATACTTTAGAAGCTCTATTCTAGAACTCTGCTTTTCTAAAGATTTAAAAGAAAGGTAAAGGAGTATTTATTAGCATTACTCATCTCAGAATGCAGAAAGATGTAGTTGTTTCAACCTGAAATACATGTCTATGTAGGAATCAGGCCAGTTTTTTTGATAGCTGGAACACAAAAATCACCAACCTCTTTCTTCAGAGATCAAACCAAGTCTTTTTAAGTGAAAAAAGATGTATGAAAGGGTAAACATTAGAAATAAAGGGTTCTCCCTTTCTTGAAAAAAGAGCAGTGCTATGACCTTGACGTAAGGGAAGGAATTTAAAAACACGTTATTCCTAACAGGATGTTTCAGATTGATCTTCCAGAAACTCTTTTGTTGTTCAGCTATTTCCATGAGGAAAACTCCAATAGACAAAGCCATTATGATTATTTTTTTTTCCTTACAATTTGACATTGCATCTTTTTCTCTTCTACTGAACTGCTACATGAAAGCAATAAGACCAAATAACCTCTCATCTACACCCCAGAGACTTTAGTAGGTGATCTGGAGACTTTTTCCAGTGAATAGGATCTTATCTTTGCCTGGTAAAAGAGCATTTCTCAAAGGCAGCCTTTGATATTACAGATCATGGTCCTGGATCATGCTGCTTCATCTGGGTTGATTTGCTCAGATACCTTCTGTTGCTTTGAGCTGGAAAAGAATATTGATTAGAAGTGTTAGTAGTGTTTGTAGGCTTCAACATATCACCTGAAATGAAGCCTATAATGGTGTATATGGTATTGTAGTTATGAATTGTAAGTAACAAATGTTAGTTCATGAGATTCAAGATGTTGCAAGTTATCTGATAAAAAGAATCCTCCATTCACATGGGAACGAACTTTAAGGAGAAATGTGCTTTTAATTATACTCTCATTTTTATGATAGTTCCTTAGCCACCAAATACAGAGCAGTAGAAATTTACATTGAACATGTTCTGTTTATTATATTTTCTCTTTTTATCTTTATCCCCTACATTACTGGAAAAGGGGAATATAAAACATCATGCTGGAGACATCTGTTGGCCAAGTACATTTAAATGTGTGTAGGTCAGTTAATTCTCTCCAAACAGGAAGACCTTCCTTCACAAAAACATGCATGTGGGGTGAAGAGACTGCACCTGTCTCTTGGACCTTTCTTTACCTGTTGAAAGTTGATCTGAATCAAAAAGGCAGTGTTTCATCAAATTGAAAGGTCTCATGTTGTTGAAAAGTCATGGAATTCCATTAAGACAAATAATCCTATTCCTATAAAATAATCTTGCTATTTAGAGCAAAACTTACCTTAGATTGAGGCACTGTCACCATATGCAATGTCCCCAGAGGAACCAAGAAGCAGAGTATATTTCTGCATGCCGAAGCAGTTTATTTGGAAGAAACTTGCTGATTTTTCTGTTTTAATTACTGTAGGATGTCAGGTTTTGTCCTTGAAGGCTTTTTGCATCACCTGTTTGGAAAAACAAAATAAGGAAGTTTTCCTGCCTACTACTCTGAGAGCAGAAATTAAAAATGCATCTAAAGAAAACTATTATTACTGTGTTTTTAATGACAATCTAGCTTTTTTTCCTCCCAAATGTCTCCTTTTATTATTTGAACCACAAGGAAGGAAAGTTGTTTTTGAGGAGGGGAAAGCTGGTAATTAAAGGACATGCAAGATACCTAACTATATCAGACTGTTTTGTTTACGTGTGTACTCTAAAGGAGAGGATGAAGAAACCCTGTCAAAATTGCCCCCAAATGAATTGAGAGAAATTGCATAATGAGGAGCATACCTTCTTGGTTAACTGTTGGATCATACTCTTAACTGGTGTCTTCAGAGCAATGAAAGCAAAATGATAGTGCCTCATGTGATGCATACAGCTCAACAGCTACCCTACATGCAAACATTAGCCACTGCTGCTGTTGTGCATAAGGTATTGTAATGGGTAATAATAAGTAAACACATACATGAGAGGCTATGCGTATAATTGTATTTTGGGTCCAGTGACTTGTAGTTCTTTTTTGCTGCACATTGGCTCTATGCTACTGATAAAATTTCACACAGATCTATCAGCTTTCAGGATCTGTGAAGAATATTTCAGCTCTTGGGCATTATATTTTCATTGTTCAAGTAATGACAACTAACTCCTAGGATGATCTAGAAAAAAGAGGCATATTCCAGAAACTTGATCCAGGAACTTGGGTAGGTTCTTAGCTTCCACAGCAATGATAATGTGCCTAGGTTAGGTCAGAGGTTTTCGCAAGAGCATTAAACTGCTGTTGGTGTTTAATCAATCTGATTTTTTGACTAGAGTAGAAGACCTGAAATTGAAGTAAGGCCTTTACAGAAGAGTTGGGGGTGGGATTAGGAAGTCGTTGGTAAGGGAAACATTCAGGTAAGTATGATCATTTCTTCTTAAGGATATTGTGGGGAGAAGTTCACTGCATTCCAATAGATGCCATTTTTAATTCACTTGAGAGAAAGTGAACAGAGGAGAGATTTGAATTTTTTATTTTTTTAAAAGAAATGAGCACTTAATTCCCCCCACCTACATCTACTTGTAACAAACAGAGAACTTTCTGGACAAAACATCTTATGATTGCTCTCATCTATTGGTAGATGTCTTAAAAGTCTTGAAAGTTCACAGCTCAACACTTTGTTTTTTATTTTTTTGGCATCAAAGCATGAAAAAACTGCATGTCTAGTACTCATCTCTTGTCATCCTCCCCTATTGCAGTGACTATGTGTGTGTCTCTGTGTGGCAGGAAATGAGGGAATACTGATCACTATTCAAGAAGTTACCAACTAGCACTTTTCCTTCCCCTCCAGTCTTTCTGCCTCCCTATCCTGGAAGTATGGAGTCCCTGCCTCAGCCTACGGCTTCATTCTTTTTCCAGCTGCCCACAAAAGTAAAGACCCAGTGTGAGAGTTTGAAGAAAGAATCCGCTCAGAGGACTGAGTCTCAAGCAAAAGCTCCAGGTTGCAGACTCAGAAAGAAACTTCCTTTGGGGAAGGATCTGCTTCCAGGATTTGCTCGTCTCTTTTTCCTTGGGCAAACAGAGTTCTTGAAGCAAACAACAGGGTTGCAGGTAGGTAGGGCCCCTTTGAACCGCCATCCACTCAGATGGACTTTATGCTGTTTCTCTATGCTTTTTTTTCCTGTTTATGTTGTCTTCCACTTCTCTAGGCTGAGAGAGGGAAAGATTATGAGCAGTTTAATGAGAAAACGTGGGGGAGAGAGAGGAGAAAAACATATCCTGAGCACATGGAAAGAATGTTTTTTATGCCTCTGTATAAGCTTCCTGTCTGTGGGTCATATTTGTACTTCAGTTCTTTGAAGGACTAATGACATCTTTGTCTGGCCCTTTTCTAGACAGGAAACAAAGTCAAGAGCAGAAAATGGTGGCTGGGGCCAAGGTAAGGCCAGTGATGGTGCATGGCCCTTAGCCACACAGCTTTCATCTCCTCCCTGTCTCTTCACACCAGTGCTAGGTTTGAATGTGCAAAAAGGTGGAGGCTGCCAAATGGTTTTGAAATCCAACTTGATTCCCAGCACTGAAAAAGTTCCCCAGTTCTAAACATGTACATACGTTCTTGCTTCAGCGGAGCCTGTGGCTGGTGGGTTAAGTCCTATTTCTTTGTCCATGTGAATAGACTGAAACACCCTGATTAAAGGGGATGTGCTGCTAACCCACATGATCAGCAATCCCTCTGGCCCAATCCCCCTCAGAGAAGGGGAATCAGTAGAATCAGCTCAGGTAAATTCTGCCTTTCTTGCTTCATTGCTGTGCAACAGCCTCTTCCTTGCAAACATCGATAGCCTGCAGTCAGAGCTTTCTTTCTCCAGCTATGTCATTGCTGGCACAGGAAGTTTATTCTAAATTTCCTTTTGATTTTTAGCAATCACTTGAAAATCACTTGAAAACTGGCAGTGAGATTCTAACGAGATTTTGCCAGTTCCTCTTTCATGATGAATTGAAGTCATTTGGAACTGTGTTACATACATTATTACTTTGGTGCATCTTGTGACTCTTCTCTCCCTCTTCATTCCCTCCAAATTGCTTCAGGACATCTTCTAACCTTTATACTGCATCACAAGCCTTCAGCAGAAGATCTTGAGAGCCATTTATGTTGCTGGAAGATGACTGGGTTTGGATCTTGGCCTTCCTTAAGCAGGATCTTCTGACAAAAATGGGATTGGGAAAGAAATGACTCCTTTTTCCATCACACAGAGCTGCCCTAGAAATGGAGGCCTAGGCAGAAAATAAATTCTAATGCATCATTCCTTAGGAGATTTGTTTGGCCTTCCATGGTTCTTCTGTTACCATGTCATAAAGGTATCTTTTATAAAACCTAAACCTGGCATCTTCCTATCTGAAGATCCAGTCAATAAATCCAAGTTTAAGAGTGTACAGGTCTAATGCGGTCAGAGCATGCTGTCTCCTACATAGGAGATGCCCTATGGATCTGTGAAACAGGGTTTTCCTGTGATTCAGAGTGTTATATCTGTAAAGCCTTTTCTGCTTTATAGTCCATTTAAATTATTAGAAAAAATAAAAAGCTTCTGGTGAATATGGTATTTAATTAGGCCTCAAACTCTCCAAGTTTACTTAAAAACAAGTGAGCCAAAAATGGCATCATGGGCAATATGGGAAGTACTGCATCTTCTGAGGTTTCCTGTGGGTTTGTGTCAAGAGAAGGTATGTTGAAAGTGTTGAGAGCTGTGAAAGTGGAAAAAAAACTTACATTTTGCTTTAAGAGTGAAAACTTATTTGTTAGAAAGCAGAAAGTTTTTAATTTCCCCCCTCTAAGGGATTCTGTACTCAAACGGTGTTTCAAGATCTCAAATAAAAACCTTATGTTTGGCAGTAGTGAGCAACACACACACACACACACACACATGCCTGTGTACTTTTTGTTCTTTTTGCCATAGGAAATTAGTTTTGAAGAATAGGACTGACTTCTAATGTTCAGATTAGGTAAGGGGAAAGCTTTGTTCTGAAGCTGAGTGTGAGAAGAGGTGGCAGGAGGGTGACCTGGGTCCACTGGTAGTAGGTAAAGTGCACTCTTGTTTTCCTGTTTCTGCTTCTGGCAGTTGGAGTAAACTAGTCAGATGCTTGTGCTTGAATCCAATTAATTTCCTAAATCAGTTACCACAAAACATTGTTTTTTAACTAATGCCTAGATCTCTTATTAAATGCACCAGCCTATTTAAATTATTGAGCAGTCTTAACATAGCCCTGGGGCTACTGCTTCATGGCAGTTGTGACTTCTTACTGTGCTGGAATGCATTGCAGTCTTAGTACATTCTAAAAATAATTGTTCAGATGGTGCTGTTTAAGTACATACTTATGTAGTGAGCCATTTTCACTGGACTTTTTAAAATTTGGGCTCTGTTGGATGGCTTTTTAATACCCTATTTTTATTCCCTGTGAATACCCAGTTTCTTTGTCTTGATGCTTCTGTGGTTATCGAGTAAAATGCTAAATTTATAACCTGGTATTTTTAGAAAACTGATAGTCAGATGTATGTGTTAAACTATGCAACCACAGTAACACTTGTGAACTTTGAAATTTAAAGAGAAATCACTTTACTGTATCAAATTTTATATTTTTTTTTAGTATGTGGAAATATGTTTGTGATGACCTTAAAACTGAGTAGTTGTTACAGGTATAGACATGGATTGTGTGCTGAACATGAGTAACCTAGAAGTTAGAAGCTGGAGATATGCGAGTCTTGGAAATAAATACTGCTGTCTGTGGGAGAGATGTGTGCCAGCAGTGCTTTTACTTGAAAATACCTGCTTTTCTAACTTTGCCCCCATTTAAAGTCTGGTATATTTTTTTGCCTTCTTTAAAAGGTGTACTTGCCTCACTCACAGCTGTTGATCATTTTGTTCTGTAGAATAAGGTAATTTAAGGCCATCAAATACTTAGTAGGAGCACTGAGAACTGTTTCTAATGTTATTGTCTCAGTTGCTAAAATGACTTTAACCCCCACATCCCAATGAGGAAAAGAACCCCAAACAAGCCAGAAAGCCTGTTGTTGTTCTACAGTCAGTATTTTGATACTTCTTGTCTATTACCATTGTGTTAGTGTGTTACTATCATGCTCATAGTTCTGCAGCTGGAATCCTGGGTTCTTGATACATCTTTAGAACAATAACTCCTGCCTTTGTGTTATTAAAAAATAAAGATATCTGAAACCATTTTCTTCTTGTTTATATTGTACTTAACATAATTGTATGAATATTGAGTGACTTTTCTGACTGACTCCAGAATGCCAGGAAACACAATGATTTTAGAGGTTTTCAATCCCCAGTACTAACAGAATTTCATAAAACAGGCAGTGTTAATACTTTTCCTCTTTCTGTTCCTTTTAAGATTCCTTGAGCATTTGTGCTACCTAACTTGCTTTATGTAATCCTTTACATCTTCTTGGCCAGGTGCCAGCTCCTCCTAATTGTTTCATAGCCAGACAGTAAAATCCTGGCTGTTGACAGCTCCCTTTTTCCTGTCCCAGAAGAGCTATCTTGTTTAACCTGAAAGACTTGCTTTCTTCTTTCCACCTTCTGTCCACCCTCTGTGGCTTATGTTGCAACTCTTTCTCTGTTATGGGATGCTTTCAGAATGAGGAGGTATTCAGATCAGGGAATCTGGGGGAAAATCTTGCTAAAGTTGTTCTTCAGGCAGAGCTAAATCTGTCACTTGTGAGAGATGTTTTGTTAGTTTAGAACAGTTTAAGGGAGGGAGATACATCAAAAAATGTGTCCCTTTTGTAAACCAGAAAACAATGTTGATTTTACAAATGAGAAATGAGAACAAAAAGCATAAGTTCTGGGGTGTTTGTGGTCCCTTGCTTTTACAGTGAGGAAGACGGGTCACAGTTTTCCGTCAACTTCTGAAAGCCAGACTGGTTCCATCAGCAGTGGTGTGTTGTAACCTGGATTTCATTTCTCCAGTCCTGTTTGCAGGGCTTTGGGATTTAACCAGGTAGCATTGACAAAAAACCCTTTTTCAGCTCTTTTTCTTCCCCCCCTTTTTTTTGTGTTTTGTTTTGTTTTTGATTGAAGAAAACTGCTACCTCGGTTTGCCAGACCTCTATTACTGATCCCTGAAAGAATGAATAGGATTTTAGGTGTTGGTTTAGAAAAGCAGTTTTAATTGAAAACTGGAAAAAGGCGTTCTTTTGAAAGCAATGGTAACGAATGTTCCAGTTTCGTTTCTTGCATGGACTTTATGAAGAATTGGTGCCAACTCCTGAGCCGGGTCCCTAAGTTGATTATCAGCAACATGAGGTGAGTTGGTGTTTTTTTTCAGGAGTTGCTGGGTTTTGCTACTTAAACTGGGTTGTCTCTAAGTGGCATTTACTGATGATAATGACACTTCTTGATCAGTTTTTTTTTTTTAATTAGTTTTTAAGACTCTACAATTATTGTTCTAATACTGTTTTGCCCAGAGAAGCTGTGGCTGCCCCATCCCTGGCAGTGTTTGAGGCCAGGCTAGATGGGACTTGGAGAAACATGGTCTAGTGGAAGATGTCCCTGCTTATGGCAGGGGGGTTGGAACTAGATGAGCTTTAAGGTCCCTTCCAACCCAAACCCTTCTGTGATTTTTATGAATACAGTCCTGTATTGTTTAGTTTCCTTGATCCACTCTTGCACATTGGGTGGCTTTCCTTTTCTTTCTCCCTGCTAGAAACTGATGTTTCTTGCTTTATGGAGGTGAGGAAAATCTGTGGCGTTTAGGCTTCTGTTACAGGACAGTAAGTGAAGAAATCTTTTACAAATGGGTATTAATTTTATGGGGCAAAAGAATTTTATTTATCCTGGTGGATGGCTGTAAGAGATTGCAGAGGTGCATGTGACTTGAGTAGTTTTCTTCTTAGTAGCTACTTCAACAATTTCAGCCTTACCAGTATGTGACCCCCTCTTGCCGATTTCAGATAACGATAGCAGTTGTGAAGTAAATAGCATTTGAACAAATAACAAGATGTTTATGATCATAAATATATTTGTGATCAAAATTGGCTGTTGAAGATTGAAATGTGGTTTGCATAGGTTTGTTTGTTTGTTTGTTCCTCCCGAATTTAGCTTTGTGCTGACTTGGAACTGAGGTTTATTCATCGAGTGGAATTGCCTGTTTTGGAGCCCACGTTAAAAGTGTGATAATAATAATGCAGACAGATTGCCAGCAAATGTAAATAATCAAGAGAAGCATTCTTTAGATATTAGTATCACTTTACATAATCTTTTGCGTTACTGGTATGGCATTTGGGTAAATTACCTGTCTCATGCTTTGATTTCAGCTTTTTTGGTGAAAAATGTAGAGACTTTTCAAACAGTGCTGCAGAGAAGCTGTAGTCTGAAATGGAGATATTTTCATAGTCTTAATATTAGTAAAAACATGATGGTGTATTCTTCAGCTTATGCACTCTTTATTACTTTGGTTAAAATTGGTTTAACTGCCTAGGCAGCATAAGCTTGCAAACCTTTTGCTGCTTGTGGTAGGAAACCTTTGTTAAAAGGACAAGGTGAAATACATTGCTCTGTACTCTTGCATGGAGCTACAGGAAGAATGGAAAGACTGGACTTCCAAAGTCGCTTTGCAGAAATTCCTGACAACTAAAAGGTTTTTACCTATTTGTCCAAAGCTTCATTCCTGATAGCTAGGGGAAGGTTAAGGCATAAAATTGGCAAATCTCAGCTCCTTAAGGTGGAACTTTAATTCTGTTCTCTTTTGTTATGTTGTCCTACAGTTGTATATCTGGACATTTATGAGTGAGGGGAGGGTATTATGGAAGGCTAGGAAATACTGCTTAATGTGGAGCCTAAGTGTAGTAGCATGTGAATGTGAAACATGAATCTCTGGAAAATGTTGGAAATTACCTTGAACACGTGTAAGCTGTGACTTGGGAAAGTATCCCTATCATGTAAGTGTTCCAAGGGAATTTTCACACGGCTCTTGCTGGCATGTGTTTTAGAACTTTTCAGAATGATGAAATGTGAAATATTCTAAAACACTCTTCCTGATCTCTGGTAGCACTCTGCATTAGGTGAGACAGCATGAAACATTAATTTGTGAAATCTGTGAGGAGTGTGTAAGCAACGGAGAGATGAAATCAGGCAGCAGCATGTAAGAGTAAATCAACAGCTGACTTCAGAACAATTGCTGTGTAAAATGGGATGTTCTTGCGTGCCTTCAGGACTACAGAGAAATTGTGGTTGAGCTGGATACTGGAACAGCTCGACCTGTAGTTAACAAGCAGCCAGCCATTCTCCCTTAACGGGGAGTAGACTTGACAGAAAATCACTTTTAGCATCTAAGCTTCATTTCCCTCCCACTCCAATTAGCAATGCCACCAGTAAAGTCTGTACTCCAATAGATCTGTAAGCTGGAGCAGTTACGTTTTCTGGTGTCTAATAAAGTATAAGCGCTGATTTGAAGCTGCTTTGTGCCTTAGTTACTGGCTATGTTTAGCACCTAATGGTGTCTAATACGGTTGAGTTAATGCTGCAGGTTTTTTTAAGGGAAAAGTGGGCTCCTGGACTTGTCCATTAGTATTTTTTAAGAGACTGTATCTTTGGAAGCTGGATCTAGTTGAAATTAGAAATGGATTAAAAATTTGATAAGGATGTCAGAACAGGAACATCTGTGGACAGAACTTCTTTTCTAATAAATTAAGAGTAGCTGTAGATATGAAAATGTGCTGTAATAAACTTCTTGGCTTTTCATGCGGTCATCTCTTCTCAGTTTTACCTCTACCTAGAATGCAACTCATGTTTTTCGTATGTTGCTTAACTGATCTCTGATGTTTTTAGAACAGTATTTACAAAGCAGCTGATGAAATGATTAAATTATTTTGAGTATTTTAGGGGACAATAATGCTTTCTTCTGTTACGTATTATGCTGAAGAGTGTTCCAAGAAGTGATTTATTTTTTGATGTTTTTGTTCTGTTTTTTGATGGTTTTGTTCTCTTTTTCGTTGTGTGGGTAATCTTTTGAGTATCTGTTACCTTCTATTAATGCAAAATTTTAATGATTTTTGGTTGGTTGCTTTGGACACTTTTCCCATCTATTCCTGTTAAGGGAGTACATTAGTCAGGTCTCTAATATTTTTTTTTTAACTAGCTCAAAACTGTTTTTTGAATAAAGCAGTTTTTGCAAATGAGAAAGAGGAACAGTAATACCAGGCTTGTTCAGAGAGTAAATGTTTAAGAAAAAAAAAAAAGGAAACTTTTGTCGCTGTATCACTCCTCATACTGCTCTCAAAAAATACATATTATTTGGAAGACTCAAATACAGCAGTCAACCCAGTGCTTCTAATGTGACAGTACTTTGAAAGCTGCAGGGCATTTTGCTTATCTCTTCAGGTAATCTTAACACCCAAATTCCTGTTTGTAGTTGAACCTAAATTACTATTTTGAATGAATTTTCTGCCTCCTTAAAAGATTTAAAAATTGTAGTCTTGGTGACAGTCTAATAATGATCAAAGGGCTGGGCTATTTGCCTGTTACTTACAGCTTTTTCTAAGGGCTTTAACACCATGTATGAATGGATGAGAGAGATCTCAGATCTTCACTGGCCTTTACACTTCAGTGGTGAATGGTTTATATTGCCACATTGTGTCACCCAGATCTACCGTCTATTTTGTGTCCTTCTTGGAGCACCTACTGTTTCAAAATCTCGCTACTCTGTGGTTCAGTGCATTTTATAGAGACACTCCTTTCTGCCTTTATGTAAATACTGAAGTGTATGCAAGGTACTATGACTTGACTAGCTGTTCATACCTGTTTGCGCAGAGTGCAGGATTAGAGATGGGAGCCATTTGAGAGCCACGCTGTGTAAAGCCTTGGTTCAGTGAATGGTCTCACCAGTTTGATTGGCATGTGGTACTCGGTTATTCCTGGGAAACTTCTTGGAGCATTTTTTTATGGATTGCTCTGGAGTAAATCATGTTGTGACTGGCTTTCTGCAAGGCAGGTGTTCTTGTTGCCTGAAGGAACTTTTTTTCTGCTCCAGCTAAAAGCAAGTGCAGTAAAACTGCCAGGCTCCCATATTTCTTTCCCCCTTCTTCACTCCTGTGTTGCCTCTTTAATTTCTGGCGCAACGAAGAGAGTTTATTTACTCAGCAAACTCCCCCCAGCCTTCAGAGAATCCTTGCAGGTTAGATGAAAGCAATGAATTTTCTAGGTTAAAGTGATCCATA